TGCCTCAGTTGTCAAACAGCTCTAAGACTGAACTTTCCACTACTCGAACAGCAAAGTTAAAAAAAAAAAAATCAGTTCAGTGTGCATAACTGTTCTATAGGCAATTCGAAAATACAACTAGAAAAAAACCTACACAGGCCAAGAGTGAGTCACATGTCACGTCTCACCTCAGACACGAAGGGACGACGCTTCATTCTAAAGATCTTCTAGCTCAGACAACATATAGTGCTTGTGTCAGTGTAGTAAAACACTCGTCATTGCGCTTTCTTTCTCTCTACTTATTTGGGTAAAATACTATAACTGTGGTTCCAAAGATAGCTATTGATACACGCAGTAAAGCTAAGAAGAAAACGCTGAGAACCATGACAGAGTTAAAGAAATAAATCATTGTGAAGTTTGAATCAGGTCACCGCTTCTCTGTTTGGCAGCTGAATACAGCATGGCCCAGTCAGTATTACCAACATTGTAAAAAAGGTGATTAAAGTGGCCAATGTAGCAAAAGGTGTGGAATCATTAACCAGGAAACCAAGAACACAGACCATTGAAGAGGTTGAAAAGTTACTGCTAATTTGGATAAATCAGAAACAATTCTTTGGCAATAGCATATGCGAGAAGGCCAAAAGTCTTCATAGTGAATTTTTAAGTGCAATCTTCAAGCCTCGGAACTAATTATTTGGTTTGCCATTATTTCTTATGGGAATATGATCAGCTCTTGAACGTTTCAGTGTCTGAAAACTAAGTTGGTATGAATTGAGATCAACAACTGAATTTGGGTACTGCCCACAGCAATCTATAATTACAATGCAATTCTGATCTAGAGCCAACTCCATTCTCTAAAGAAAGGGAAAAACTAATTGCTAACTATATAGGAAGAGGGAAGAGGCCCAGGATAGCAAAGAACATCTCAAGCTGTTAATTAACAAAACAGAAGGCCTCTCACTACCCAAACTCAAAACCCATTACATAGCCCAAGTAGTCAAAGCAGCCTGGTGGCAGGAAAGGATGGGTACATAGATCAAAGGAACAGAATATAAAACCGAGAAATAAATTCATCCACTTACAGACAACTGATTTGACAAAGGGCCAAAAACATAAAATGGGAAAGAGATAGTCTCTTCAGCAAATGATGCTGGCAAAGCTGGATTGCTGCAGAAGAATGAAACGGGAGTCATAGCTCACTTCATGTTAAAATGAACCCAAAAATGTATCAAAAACTTCTATGTAAATCTCAGAATTATAAAAATCATCCATGAGAAAATTAGGTCAAATGGAAGAGCCCAATTGCTGAGCAGAGACACACTAACAAATATAATAAAGAATAAGATACTTATGTGCAGTAAAAGGAATAAAAAAAGAACTCATGCGATAAGAAAAAATCATTAGCAATTACAAAATAGACAAGGAACTAATGCCTAAAATCTATAGAAAACTGTAATAACTCACTAAGAAAGAATAAATAATCCAATTAAAAAGTGGGCAAAAGGCATGAACAAATGGTTCACCAAAAATGATATCCAAATAACTAACAAGTATATGAAAAAACGCTCATGATCATTAGCCATCCAAAAGGCCCTCTGAGGTGATCCTACCTTCTCTGGGGCAAATCAAAACAATGATAAGATGTTTCCTGGCCCCGACAATGACAGCCCCATTAACAAACAAACCAACAAAACAATCAGAAAATAAGAAATTCTGGAGAGGGTATGGAGAGATAGGAACTTTCATACACTGCCAATGGACCTGTCCATATGTATAGCCATTTTGAAAAACGATATCGTGCTACTTCAAAAAACTGAGAATAGAAATTCCATATACTCCAGTAATACCTTGGCTGGCATATACCCTAAAGAAGTAGAAGCCATAACACGCACAGATATATGCACTCCCAGGCTCACCACAGAACTCTTCACAACAGCACGAAGTTGGAAACAGCCAATGTTCATCAACAGAAGAATCAATAAAGAAACTCTGGTACACACACAGTTGAATACTACGCATCACTAATGAGCAATGATGAAACCACAAAGCCTCTTGACATAGACGACCCTGGAGAACGAGTCAATCACAAAAGGGCAAACACTGTCATGAGGCCACTCCTACAAGGATGAAAGCTACAACAAAGACTAGGACATCACAGAGAACAGACTTTTGAGTTCCCCAAGGTACGGAGGGCAGAGGTGGGAATGTGAAGCAATGGACTAGAAGGGTGATAGGTAAAATAAAAAACTAAAAGTCAACACTAAGCACCTAAAAGAGTCAGAGCTGGATTGAAATATGGACTTGGAGGTGGTAGGAGTGAAGGATAATACAGAGCCGGGAGAGAGTACTACAGAAGGGGAACAGCCTGAGCAAGGGAATGAGTTCTCACAATCACTTGGAGCTCCATAGGGCTGGCTTGCTCAGCAAAGTGGGCTTCTTTGGGAGGGGAGACGGAGTGAGGAGAAGCAGGGCACCCAGAGCATTTCCCTCCCTGTTTCCTTCCTGCTCCAGGATAACATGTCCCTTCCTGTTTCCCAGAACGAGGAAACATGATAGAGATCCATAAATGAGAGAAGAGAAATCAGGTAGGATGGATAGGATGTAAGAGGCAGTTAATGAGTGCTTTAAACTATTGAATGCAGAGTTGGTGAGTCTGATATATAAGCCCCCACCTAATTTACAATAATATTTTTTAATTCAATATATAGGGACTTTTGCAGAATCGTGCAACAAAACAGAGTTTTAAATAACTGGGGGTGGGAGTGGGGGCACAGTGAGGGAGCTCCAGAACTATTAGGAGACCCAAAAATCTGCCAAAAGAGGGAAGGAAGCTGTTAAAAAATAAGAAAAAAGCATCTCAGAGCTGAAGAAGGAAAGAGGTTACAGATTAAACACATCTACTATTTAAAATAATGAAGACCATTTTTAAAAGACATATGCCCAGATAACATTTTGTTCTGAAATTTTAGAACACAGAGAGTAAAGCCCTTAAATCTTCCAAACTGGAAACACGAGACGCAAAGGAATGAGGATGGAACGAGACAGTACCAACGGATGTTACATGACAATGAAGCAACATCTTTAATACCCAAAGTGGGAAGGGTCACTTCAACCTAGACAGCCATATAAAATAAACCTACCGAGAAAAAGATGCTCTCAAACATTTACTCCATTAAATTACCTTTCAAAAATCCTACGTAATTTGAAGACGTCCTCCAGAGGAAATAAGATGGGATTCCCAAAATGAAAGCAGTAAAACTAAACTGAAAGTTCAAAGAAACAATATCATCTCAGTGGCAAGTTGGGGCTAGAAAGGCATCCTTCCCCATGAAAACAGTGAGATTACAGGCTCTGAGAAGAATATCTTCAAGGACAATAGGCTATGTTTCATCAATAGATACACTTTCTTGGAGCACATTACAAGTCTAATGGGTTGGATCAGGCAGTGTTGGTACTCCTGTACACAACACTGCACTGAGCTGGAACTAACTCATGAACACCTAAAGAGTTTAACTTGAGGGCAACTATAACGAAAGGAAATTAAAACAAAAAAAAACAAAGAAAACACTAAGCACCTAAAGGAGTCAGAGATGTATTGGAGTGCGAACTCTTAGAGGTACAGGGGCGAAAGTCAAGAGCTGGGCGAGTGTGCTGCAGGAGGGTGATGTCCTTATAACCACCTTCTCCCCCTCCCAGGTGCTTCCCTCTCCTCTCACTAGACCTCATACCCCTGTGCCCACCCCAGCAGTCCACCTGCCCAGAACTGTCACTGGTCTGTTCATACCTCAATTTGGGCTGGCGTGATCCTACCTTCTCTGGGGCAAGCAGATCCTTTCTTCATCTCCTCAACGATCATTTCCAGCCTCTACACTGGCCCCTAGCATCTTTTACCTCCAACTCTTTTACTCTCAAGCCTTATTTCCGGAATTGAGGAAGTTGAGACTGCAGCAACTTCCCCCAATTTCTACCTGCTGCTTGGTAGATCCCTATGCAAAAGTCCACGTCTTCATGAGAACCTTGAAGGCTCTCCTGCATCTTTTGCACATTGGTCTTGCCTGAGGCCCACCACTACTCACAGCCCTTCTAACAGTTATCCCCACCACTCTAGGCCTCTAAAGCATCATCAGGCAAAAGGCCCTCTGAGGTTTTCATAGACATCTGCATCAATATGTACGTATTCATGAGTTGATATTTGATGGTCTGTCAAAGCACATGAAGCTGAATTCAACTTGTTAGATAAAAAGATGGCTGCCACACACATCAACACAGTTTGGTGTCTATGTCTTACCCGTGAACTTGGAAATACTGAGACTTTTCCCTACTGTTCCCAGCTCTGAGATGACCTTAGTGATGTGATCCAGAAATGACCCTGCTAAGTGTCCATAGTGGAGATAAAGTGTTGTATAATTCTATTCTGGTAACAGCAACAAGATGACCATTAACAGCCTCCTTGAGATCCCACAGGAAAAGCTGCCTGCAGTGGGTGCTCTGAGGGACTGAATTCACCCCTGGGCCCTACTACTTCTGTCCTTTGCCTCTTCTTCTTGCTTCAGGCCCATTAAAGATGCTCTCATTCCACTCAGGGAAGAAGTTGAGAGCTGTGCTCTCAATATTTTAAATGCCAAAATAATGTTCTATCTAGTTATTAATAGAAATGCCACATGTAAAAACAGCTAAACTCTCACTTCAGACACAAAGATACCTTCCTTGCTACAAACCTGGCATGTGAAAATGTGCACATTAATAACAGAAAGTTATATTAGGATAATTTTATTTTAGGAGGCAAAGCTTTTGTAAAAGGAGTCCTCCAAATGAAAGATTCTCTAGTTAGCTACGGTTTGATTTATAAAGCCTCCTCTGGAAAGCCTACAAAATGGGGATTACAGCTTCATTTGATCTCTTTGTAAACTCAAAGTATTTGAAAAAGTCACAGACTGCAATGGAAATGTCAAGATGAAACTAGGATTTCCACCAATACGTGGTTGAAGCTACGTGCAGTGCGTGTATCCGGATGTACTTACGTCCTCTGACTCAAACACATGGCAGATCATCTTGTACTGCTTCTTCCCCTCCTGGGCCCCAGGTGTGGTCTCAATGCAGTCTTGTGAGGCTGACCGTGGCATTCGGCGCCTGGCCATCAACACAACGATGTTCCCAATGTCAGCGATGTAGGAGATGGTCCGCAAAGCATGGTCCATCATTGTTTCCTGGGGAGAAGGGAAAAGCATCGGCTACTTAGAACCATGCCAGTTATGGATTTTTCAACTTCCAACATTATGGACGTTTTTTGGATTAGATCATTCTTTGTGATGACCTGTGTATTGCAGGACGTTTCACCGTATCCCTGGCCTCTACCCACTAAATACCCACACACCACACACCAAAGTAAGACCAACCAAATGTGCCCTGAAGGGCAAAATCCCTCAAGGTACATACTCTGGTGCTAAGTTCACATTTTAGGGAGCTGTGTGGTCAGGTTGAATATGACTTTACCTCAGTCTGAACTTTCAAAATAGAATTTCATCAACATTTTTCAGAGGCATAGTATGCAGGGTCAGGCAAAGAAAGATCAGGATGTTGCCAATTGGTAGAGCCTTTCTGACCTTAATGAGTGATGGGCTTCCTGCGAAGCAGAAAGAAGTCTAGGGTAACCTCTCCTAAGGAATAGTTTCTCTGCAGGAAGCCCAGGCAGTGAGGTCAAGATCAAGGAGCACCAAGGCAGCATACCCAGTACTCTGAAACAGCTGTTTTCAAGGTCCCTAGCCCCTTGGCAGGTTCATTACTCGTGACAACTTTTGTCCCCTGACAGGAATCTCTCTAGAGTACCTTCCCAACAACCTCTACCTAACAAAGCAGCACTTTAAGGCTTTGGAAACCCAATCAATTGGTCTTTTCACTTTTATTCTTACACCTAACATCTTCGCCACGCCCCCTTATATAAAGGTGGGGAGAATAGGACAGGTAAAGAGAGAGGACTCAGTGTTTGCACACAATCTAGAAATGAATTGGGCAGAAATGCCTCTGTTCTGTTGGTGTAGTGGGAACGTGCCTGATTTATCTGCTGCAGGATAGTTAATTCCTGAGCGACTGCTTGTAATGTTCTTAAACTCACCCTCTGATTGGAAGGCCCTATTCTGAGGCTGGGGGAAGAAGCTGTCCAGTTCCTAGAAAGGTCAATAATGGACTGGGCAAAAGAGACAACAGTTCACTGTGCTATTTCATAGAGGGCTAACTCCTTCATTGGATCCACCTGGAACCCTGGGGTTACCTGGAAGAGAGGAGAGCCTACCATGAGGGAAGGCCATGCAGAACTTGGCAAGGCAAGATGGCACTGCCTAAAGAAAAAAGTGTTTGCTTAGGAGGCACTGAGTCTGTCAATGGTGGCAGAATAATTTGGAAAAGGATATCAATGGGTGTGCAACATAATATCAACTAGGTAATTAAATATGTCGTTAAATACGAGCAATTGTTCTTCGGCTGCTTTCCATCGAACTAGTACTTCAATATTCTAGCAATGTGATCCCCAAATTGGGAAATTATAATTTATTCCCATATTAAAATTGGCTATAATCAATGGTGCTGAATTGTCTAAGTAGAAGTTGTAGACGAGGAAAAAAATAAAAAAACAACCAGTACTGCCCCCAGGCAAGTTTTTGAGAGGCCACAAGAGGAGTCTCCATTGGACCAGAGCAAGAACTGGGATGCTGAGTAGAGAAGGTCAAAGAGCAATGGCTTGGTCACTGGACTGGGTTTTTGGGGTAACTGGTTGTAAACTTGTTGAGAATGAACGGGAAGAGATAGTCTAAGTGGAAAGGTGGCTTGGCTGACAAACACAGATGTTGGCATAGTAGCTGGAGAGTTGGGAACAGATAACAGAGACTATGGAGGATGAGCTGGCCAGCCAAGAACAACAAGGATCACCCATGATGTGATAAACCAAAAGAGGATTAAGAGTGGGATGTAAGACCCTTACCACCATCACAACTCTTAACAGCTCTGGTCAGAAGTAAGAGAGTTTCCCTAGGAGGTGGCTTGGAACGTATTTTATCCTACATGAGGTAAAAGGAGAGAGCAATGGGCTGAGATCAGTGACCTACTGCCAAAGAGAAAGAAGAGCCCCGGGGTGGAGCGCATACTTTGGATCTGGGTCCCTGTACCAGGAAACGTCTAGATCTAAGAAAAGATTGCTGCCAAGACACATGGATAGCTTCAAGGAATGCTGGTCCCACAGATGTTGGGAGAAGTCAAGGCCCTCGTCCCAGAAACAACAAAGAGAAAAAGCATCCCCCTGGAGCTGGCACTTTAAGTTTGGTCTTCTGGACTCTCGAATTGTGAGGGAATCCATTCCTGTTTGTGAAAATACCCGTGGTCTTTCTGTTGTAGCAGCTTGCTCTGGTTATCTGGTGTTGCTGTAGCAGAAATACCACAAGTGGATAACTTTATCAAACAGTAATTTATTACCTTTCAGTGTAGGGGGCTAACAATACAAATTCACAGTGTCCTCTCTAGGTGCAGGCTCTCTGTCTCTCAGCTCTTGGGCAAGATCCTTGCTATCAATCTTCTCTGTCTAGGATTTTCTCAGTGCAGGGGTCTCAGGTCCAGAGAACACACTTCATTCATTCCCAGCTCTCCTTTCCAGTGGTAATAGGTACCCTCCCTCCTTTTATCTCTTGAGGAATAACTCCCCTGAGGCCAAACATGTGTAGATGAGGTCCAGGCAGCCCTCCACAGAGCAGGAGGGCAGAAGCACAGTAGTGCAGAGCAGGCAGATGGAATGAAGCCTTGGGTTCTTAGGACAACAAACCTCCTGGCCTGTGTGGCAATGGGAAGATGCCTTTGAAATCTACAGTTTCTCTGCTTTCCTAGACATGGAGGTAGAGAAAGCCCTGAGAACCAACATCAAGAAGCAGGTCTCTGGAAAACAAACACAACAATTCCAAGACTTGGCTCTGAGGGCCAAACTGTGAGGCAGCCTGGTGGCAAGACCCTGCATTGAGGGGAATCCACTGCCCTTGCCATGGTGGATGGTAAAAGACAGCAGGTTCCTTCATCAGCAGTAAATATGACTCAGCACACGAACCACAATGGTCTGGACAGTGCAATGGAAGAGTCCGACCTAACTAAGGACCTCTCTTGAAGCAGGAAGAAAAGAGAAAACATCAAAAACCCTAAGGCCTCTGCCCGTGACCACTCACATCCACTGACTCCTCTGGCCATGTTCACAAAGCAGACACACAGGGGAGGAGGGAGGGAGAGAAAAGAGCCAGAGACCATGCGCGGGCCAGGCCTCGAGCTGCCTGTCATCTCTGGGTCTCTCACCCCTTTTTCACAGGATGGAGCTGGCAGGGAGTTTATCCTCAACTCATTTTAAAAAGCAAGTAGGGCTGACAGATGCTCAGCAACTAGTCTAAGGTCGCAATTCCCAGCGATGAAGTCATATTCCATCCCCAGGCCCAAACACCTAACCTCTAGGTGGCAGTGTCCTCCCATGCATATCCACTAGATGGTGGGGTGCTGAAGAGGGTGAATGAGGCAGGCCTCAATAACCAGACTGCCAGCTTGCCAGGCTCTCCCAAAAGCTCACAGTGTCCCAACTGTGATGTGGCTGGTAATGAACCCTTACTTTCCTTCATGAGTCTAGGATTTGGATACATCCTAGAGAGGCTTCTTAATGAGCAGCCTCCAGTAAAAACCTTAGGTGCTGAGTCTCTAACAAGCTTTCTGGAGGCAATATTTTGTCACTACTTGTTTCTGGGGGACTTAGCATGTCCTGGGAGGCTCCACTGGGGGAGCACCCTTAGAAGCTGGCACACGGTTTCTCAGGCTTCACCGCATGTCCCTTTGCCCTTGCTGATTCGGATATGTCCTTCAACCAGATGTCGGATTCAAATAATTTTTTTTTCAAATAATTTTTTTGAAGTTCACAGCCCTAATGACTGTTTTAAGTATTAAAAAAGAAATAGTGAAAGGTAGCTTATTATTTAATGCAGTTAATACTTAAGAAGAACTATAAAAAGGCACACAAAAGTAGATAAGAGTTTTAAATATTAAGAAAAAAGAATAAACAATACCTAACAAAAATACAATAAAACTGTAATATAAGATATTTTCATATTGCTCCTTGATTGACATCATTTAAAATACTCTTTGCTTTTATCTGAGCATTTGTGTGCTGTTTAACCTTAACCATCTTTTCACTTTAGGAGTAGGATCTCATTCCTTTAGAGGTAGGCCAATTAGACTAATAGTCACTGTATTTTATAGATTAGAAACAGGCAAATTCTCTTCTCTGAACATATGTTCATCTTTGAAAAAACCCTTTCTGTTCTGCTAAACTTAAAACAATTGTTCTGACAATATTTTTAGCTCTTTGAACACTTTCAGGAATTCCATAATTCTGGGTATTTTTTAGAAGATGGAAATCTTAATAATCATTAATATCAGGTGGGTAATTAAATATGTCCTTAAATACGAGCAATTGTTCTTCAGCTGCTTTACATAGAACTAGTACTTCAATATTATAGCAAAGTGCTTCAAAAATATTGAGAAATTATATTTATTTCCATCTTGAAATTGGCTACAACGTGCTTTTAAATGTTCACAGTTCATTTTCAAACATGTTATGACATTTTCTAATACCTTTTCCAAATGAAGCCCTACAAATTGTAATTTTCTACACATTTTATAATTTTGAAAGTTTCTAAAGTAATCAATTCATCACCTTTTTTTTTGGTATGAGCCCTTTTTCTTCCCAAGAATTTGAAAAGCTTTAAGAGAGCTTATCACATTTTTTCAGCCTTTATTATGTCTATATTTCTCACTTACAGTGCATTTGAAAGAAGAGATACTGCATTTGACCTATTAATCTTCAATGCCAAATCAGCTATGGATGGAATGAGCATTACTCTGGGTGCTTAACATATGCTGTTGCACAGATTAATATTAAATAAGGGTAAGGAATGTGCATTTGTGATTTCTACATTGGGCACCCAACCTCCTATCTTAGAGAGAACCCTGATTACGAGTGCCATTGGAACAACCAGTTTGCCAAACTCAACAAAAATTAGGTATTGGTTCTGCTGAACCTGCGTGAACTGTCTGGATCCCACCACTGCCTTCAACTATAAGAAATGACAACCATGGGCCAAGGTCTGAGAGTCCTAATGAAGTGTCAAAGTTGCGGTCCTTATTAGAAAACCTCAACAAAGGTCGGTAGAGGGGCAAGAGGTAAAATCCAGAGATACATCTTGCTCACAAAATATCAGGGAACAAGATCTAAATATGTGGCATCCCAAGCCAGGTACTCAACCCCTGACTCCAGAGATAAAACGCATCTCTCTGAGTTCTCACCAAGCATAAGGCTCCAAGGTGGTTGTTGGTGGGACAGGTCAGGCTATGGGAAGCACACACACAAGAGGGGGAGCTACAGTACCCAAAGGGAAGTACGGAAAGCTTCAAGATGGGGGGCAAGCAACACGTTGCTGGGTTGGGTAGGCAACAGTATGAGACCCTAGTGGGTCTATACCAGCTTTACTCCGTGCTCTGCTGCCCTGCCTGTCCCCAGACATTCGGGATCCCCCTAGGGATAATCAGAGAACCCATCTATCAAAATCCAAAAGTAAAGGACAAAGAAGGGTCTGGGGGATCCTCACAGAAGGAGTCCTAGGCATGAACTAGGCCTAGCTTGTCACAGAGTGAGCCCTGGGGATGAACCAGGTCTTCACTTGCTACTGATGGTGAGAGTCCCGTAGTGTTGGTCTTAAGCAGGAGCTACAATTATGAGCGTATAACTTTTAAAAATACACACATATTCGAGCTCTTTTCGTTGAAAAAGCCAAAGAACAGTGACACCCAATAGCACCTAGCATATTCAGCACCAATATTTTGGTTTCTAAAAGCCATTCCCCATTAAAATGAGGATTCCATGAAAAAAAATGGCTGGCCCAGGTCTAGGAGCAGAGAGGTCCCAGTTGAGTTCAGAATAACTGCTTGTCCAAGAAAGCAATGTCAATTCACGGACTGAGGAAAACAGGTTAAAATGGCCCATGATACAGATTAAAGGTTATTGTACCTTTCTGAGACAATCTGAAAATCAAAAAGAACAAGGACAATAATAGATTACAACACCATAAGTTTAAAAAAAAATTTTTTTTCAAGAGTCCAGAGTGGAACTTCATGAAAAGAGAAAGGGAGAGGAATAAATGAAATGCTCTTCTTTACAGAAGGTGAGATGATAAATGTAGAAATCATGACACTATTCTAATGCCACCATTTTGATCTGCCAATGTTGTAACCAATTTGTCCATTGATGCTAAGACTTTGAGGAAAAAAGTGAAGGAGTATTCACTTATGCTTAAGTCTCATGCTTCAATTGTAGACCACAGGTGTCTTTACACGAGACATCTGGCTAGAATCCTACAAGCCATTTATTGCGGTTTGGAATCACCGATGTGAGGCCCATCCTCTTCTCTCTTCACATCCCGGTCCCTCTCACCCACCAACTCCTGCTCAGGGAGCACTGCTTTTCCGTTTCCACACGAAGAAACCAGCACCCAGAGCTTCCCTGCTCCAACACACTCTCTCTCAGCTCATGTTGTTTGCATTTGATACATGGGCACTTCCTCATTTATTTGTTTCACTGCTTTCCCTCCTGCTAATTGGCCGTATGAAGTGATTTAGGTATAAAAAGTCAGTGTTGTAAATTCATAAAAACGACCTTGTTTGGAAAAATAGAGGCCAACTTTGCAAACATTATCAATAAAGTTATCAAGGTTACACCTGAGCAGTGTGAGTACAAATACTAATAATCCCTTCTCAGTGCTGCCTAAGGGAGAAGAAAGCATGTGAGGTTCACTCTACAAGCTAAAGTATGTCAAGGAATTCCCAGACCTGCCAAAATTGGAAGAGATAAGGAAGGGGGGGGAGAGAGAGAGAATATCTATTGGAGCACCTGCTCATGGGCTTCAACCACTTTGAGAAAAACCTAAAACTCCTCCCCACTAAAATGCCACAGCCCTGAACGCGGTAGGCTACCACGGCATCATCAGCCTCCCGCTAACGGACTCGGGCTCAACACATACAAGCTTCAAGAAAGTCCTTCTTAAAAAAAAAAAATTTTTTTAATTTAAAAAAGAAAGTACTTCTTGAACCACAGTGATTAGCACGGATTTTAGATCTACCCCTTCTTTTTTGCTCATTTTGCCTCTATTTAATCCCAGTTATATAGGCAGGTATGTTACCATGCTTTCCAGTATTTATATTTCCTTATTTGATGTTCAGCCTCTTTTATTTTAACAGGCACTCGTTTCTAAAGAGTAGCTGGACAGGACCCCAAAACCAGAGTCACCACCCTAAAGAAAATGGTCAAACTCACCAGGAGAAGCAGCAAAGCTTTTTTAAGCCAGAATTTGCTCTCAGATTTTTCCCATGGGTGAAAAACAGGTTGCTAAAAGTGCACCGTTGTCATTAACCCCAATTCATGGAGACCCTGTACACGTCAGAGTAAAACCAAGGGTCTCAAAGGCTGGCTTCTCAGAAGTAGGTCACTAGGCCTTTTTCCCTGAAGCACCTTTGGCTGGACTCAAACTTGAACCGCTCAGCTGGTGAAGCACATTGACACTTTGCAACATCTAGAGATCACGAATCGACATGATTTTACACAGCTGTCTTTTCAGCACTTACCTGGGTGTCTGCATTTAGAACCTTAATCCTCTGGGTGGAGATGAAAAGGTCCACTTCAGTCATCATCTGAGCATCCCCCTCAGAATTCTAAGGAAGGACAGGTGACATGATTACAAACCAGAAGCATTAACTTGAGCAGAAGACTGACAATTTTATTCATTCCTGAACTCATGCTGTGGCCACGAGGAATCAGCTGTCAGAAAGCACCGATGCTGCAGCCTTCCGGCGCAATTGCGGTTGGCTGTGAGTCTAAAGAGAGTTTTTGAAAGATAGAAGGAGAAAGAGCCGAACCACCAGAGCCTGACCATCAAGGGTGCTCTCTTGTTCCAGTGCCCAGTCTCCTCACTCAAAATGGGCTGCCTGCTAACTGTTGCATTCATTCAAGATCAGGGTCTTGGGTTGACATTCTTTGGCTTCTGAGTATCCCCAAATGTGAGAAATAAATTGTACAAGAAGCTGCATGAAAACATCAGTACAGTGATACCTCAGTGGTCGAATGGCTCCCAGCTTGAACTTTCCACAACACGAACAACAAAGATCAAAAAAATCTGCTCCGTGTTTGTAACTTTGCTTGGTAGTTGAACTGAAAATCTGACTTGAAAAAAACCTGTGTGGGCTGAGAGTGAGTTACGCTGTGTCTTGCTACAGACACAAAGGGGTGACACTTCAGTCCAAAGGCCTTCCGTGCTCGCACGACATCTAGTGCTTGTGTTAATGCATTGAAACATTTGTCGTTGTGCTGCACTTAGTTTGTGCAAGATATTAGAACCTGGCTCCAAAGAAAACGACAGCAATAGTAAAGCTAAGAGGCAAACGAGGAGAAGCAGGATGGAGTGAAAGGGAGAAAGCGCTGTGAAATGTGAATCAAGTCAGCGCTTGTCCGAGTCAGCTGCTGAATACATGGCCAGGCCGACTTTACCAACATTTTTGAGGTGGGGAAAAAGGTAGCAAATGGTATGAATGTAGCAAAACGGTTAAGCATGAAACAAAGAACTCAGACCACGGAAGAAGTTGAAAAGTTACTGTTAACTTGGATAAATCAGAAACAGCTCGATGGTTGGATAAATCAGAAACAATTTGATAGCAACAGCGTATCTGAGACCGTGATATGCAAGGAAACTAAAAGCCTCCATAGTGATTTAAAGTACTAGAAAAATACATTTGTAAGTGTACTTTTTTTTATTCAGAACCCATGATTTGGTTTTCCATTATTTCTTATAGAAAAATATATTCAGTTCTCAAACTTTCAGTGTTTGGACACAAATTTGGAATGAATTGAGTTCCACAACCGAGGTATCACTGTATTTCCTGCTAATTTAAGCAATCAAGTAGCCTTGGCCCCAGTCTTCTAAAAACCTTCATGTGAACAAGACCTGCGACACGACTCAGTCTGAATGCTGCCTTCATGGTATCATCTAAAAACCCAGGAAATAGCAACAGCCCCACAAACCACAGCATTTGTCATTTCCACTAGAGTACTCAGTCGATGATCCCTGTAGTGTTAGCTGCCTTTGAGTAATGCCTTAGAGTTGATCTCTGATTCATTGTGACTTCATGCACAATGAAATGACATGCTGCCTTGGCCCTGTACTATCTCCAGGCTGAGTGTAGATCAAACACTTGTGATCCATTCATTTTTTGTTGGCTGATTTTTAAAACTAGATTGATAAGTCTTTCCCTCTAGTCGACCGTAATTGGGAAACTTTGCTAAATCCTGTTCAGCATCATATCAACACTTTCTGCTATTGATGTATTGACATATGGACAATGACTGCACTGAGGTGTATGGCCAGTAACGAACCTGGATGTCCCCTCCCAGAAGACCATTGAGAAAGCATTCCCATCATATGGCCCCTAGTTATGTTTCAATGGATAGTTTTGGTGGCTGAGTGGAGCCTTAGTCTGACCCAATGCAGGGCAGCCATTAACTGAATTTTATCTCGGTGGGAATTCCGAATAGTGTAACATAGTGCCAATGTAACACAGGTTCTTTTGACTTGCTCCCTGAAGTGAGTCATTCTTTGTGGTTATTTGGGAGCCTGGAGTGATGAAACTTTCACTTCGAAAAAGTAACTGTAATTTAATTCTCACTAAAAAATCTAAAATAAATAATATCTTTGCTGAAAATTCCTTATGAATTCTGGGTTGTTGTAAGGTTCCGTATTATAATGATAAACTTGTAGTTTACACAGCTTTTAAGGGAAAAGGTGTTTGGGGCCTTTAGTCTACCACTCTGAACTGTTTAAAAAGACAACACTGTCCCAAAGCTTCCTGCTGAGAATTAGTCTGCAGAACCGAAGGAACTACTTTTTCTGTTTTAAAAGATTAAGTTATATTTTCCATAAACATGCTTTTAAAAGTGAAATTCTGCATCCCAAAGCCTTCTTACTAAAGCAGGTTAACAATATACATGGGGTTGTCATGAGCTGGAAGCAACTCAATGTTAATGGGTTTTTAAAGTAGGTTAAATCAAAAGTGACTTATAATCAAAAGTTGCGGGTGAGTCCTGATTGTAGTGGCAATGTTACAGAAAATATGAACCCTGCAGTGAACTTGACCCAAGGAAAGGAACTGATAAGACAGGCTACGGGTACACAGAGGGAGCAGGAACCAAATAAATGACAATTAAAAGGTCCATCCTCATTCCAGGTGTTGATGCTGGTAGTGACCCAAGTATCACACTCCCCTAAAAGGAAGCAAAATCTTAAGTGCAACATGGTCGACTGACCATATGGTCTGCCCTGGAGTCTCTTTTGCCCTATGCCCTGTACCTTCAGGAACATGACAGGCTAAGATGTAAGGGCGTGGGAGATGCAGGCATAGATCACTCTTCCTGGGAAGAGGCCCACACTCCATGCAGGCTTGCAAAGCCAGCCTAATGGGCACTATACGGGAGGTCTCAGAACATCAGACGCCACCAGCACACCTGGGAATGTCTACATAAAACAGTGAAATCTTTATGTTAGCCTTGCTCTAGTACAAAGCTTCTTAAACTGTGGACTGTGACTCCACATGGTGTTGCAGAACTGAATGTGGGAGCTACAAAAAATTTGGCAACAGTAAAAGGATTTGGAACTTGCAATGACCAAAAATTAATTCAAAATCTATTTCTGACCATGCTTGCCCGTTTTGCAAATTTCTCAGGCAAAAAGGAGTTGCAAGTGGAAAAAAATTAAGAAGCCTTGCTCTAGAGAGTCCAAAAAAAAAAGAAAGGTATCTATTATAGTTATCTATAAATGAGCGATGAAAAAAAAAGCCAAACCCTTGGTTTCATTCAAAAGGCTCACACATAGCTACCAAGCAAAAGGAAAAGACAGCTTTGCAGCCTTGTCTGTATTCTTCACAGAACATTCCCGCTGACTAGGACGAGACACAGCAATGTAAGCAAACACCCGTTTTGAGGACAACAGTCTTACACACCGCTTTCTTCTTGATTCTAGCAGCCTTCTGCACCCTCTGCAGCAGGTAAGAGAAAAGAAAACAATATGGGCACATGGAGAAGGCGGAGAGGCAGTGTTACTTTGGTCAGCTCCCCCAATACTAAGATTGCATAGTGAGCAGAAGAGCTCTATGGCTACAGTCAGACAAGCCACCCCTGACAGAGGCGGATCAGGAATTCCCGTGAGCTCGCTTCTCCAGAGCTGGACATTACCAGTGCTCATCCTGGTCTACGGGGGGCACAGTCAAAAACAGGAGAATCATAATCTGCTGGCAGAGAGCAGATCATTCCCTGATGTAAAAGACTGGGTTTCTAGGGGCAGGCAGGGAAGCCCAGGTCACTCTGCTAAGGGCATTAAACACAAGCTGGTCTCTACCACATTCCACCATGTAGGCTGGCCAGTCCATCTTTCTTACTACAGAGAGCTGATGCCTGCTGTCCCTCTGCTCCCTTTATAGGAGGTTGGTCGTGGTAGGGGTGGGGTGAGAAAGGCCATCGTGTCTCTTATTGCTCACAGAAAGACAATGTCTGTAGACATGCTGTCCACTGGTGGTATTGACTCACTGCATCCCCTCTTCCAGACCTCGGCATGAGTGTAACACAGATCATGGAGGAGTGCCTAGAATCTGTGTCATTTCCTCCTCTGCTCCGAACATCTCAGCCTTCCACTGGGGCCTCCAATAGATGCAGTCCCTCAGAGCTGGTCAGCAGGGCCTGTCCAGTTAGCAAATGCTGTCTGGCCATGCTGCTGACTTCCTTGAAGTCATACATAAGACATACAGCATATCTCCCCCCACCCTACCCCCACGACTTCTATTAATAGCATAAAAATGCATACCGTTCAATTGGGACTTGAGGCTCTAAACAAGCACGTTTTATTACTTGAGGGCTATGAAAATTGTGTTTCCAGATGTATAGGAACACTGGGTAACCCCCAGCTGGAGCACACTCCCCACCTAATCAATGTCACAGCACCTCCATCCGCATCTTTGCTCTTGACCAGAATTGTGTGGTTGGCACACTGACACCCTGGCTGACTAACAGGGTCCCTTCCCTAACAGAACTCCCCAATAAATCAGAGCCTGGAGTGAATCAGGAGGCATATGTGAGGCCCCTTTGGAGGCTCAGCCACCTCCTGCTCAGATACTACCTTGACACGGCTGACAGCCTCCTGTGCCTGCATCATCCTGATGTTCTTGGATGGGTTCCTCTCTGATAGCAGCTGAGTGGAGCCCAGGTAGTTAGCAGCAAAGATGATCCCATCAATGAGGTCCTCAGGCTCACAGGGCCCTGGAACTGAAGGGGACAAACATTTCTTGAGTCTTCCCGCTTTCAAAACCATTTCTTGAGTATGACCACCCTCACCCACTCTATCCTGGGCAGCATCAACTCCCACCATCTCAGGTTCATGGTGAAGATGTCCATGCTGACCCTAGAAGATCCCGTGGGATCCTTTCTATCAATTGCTCTTCTGTTTTAAACATCTGGGGGCTTTCCACTGGGGCCTCCCAGGGAAGGAATCTCCTAGAGCTGGTCAACAGGGCCTGTCCACTTAGTAAGTACCGCCTTGTCATCCATGCTGCTGACTTCTGTGCATCTGCTTGCACTCCGCCCACAGCGGCCTTTTTTCAGAGCTCTGTATGTGCGGTAAACTGAAGGACTAGATGAGAGTGTAATGCAGCTAAATCCTCTATACTCATAATTATAGGCCTGGGAAGCCAACTCTGGTGAGGGAAGACCCTCAGGGATTTGAGATAGAAGTAGGTCTTAATATACATTTTCATGACTGGACACAATCCCTCCAATAACCGCCCCCCCATCAAGGAACCGTCATAAAGGAGCTACCATATCTGGGTATTCTCTGTGCCGGGAGGTTATCTGCAGATAGAGCAATGAGGTTCTATAGCCAAACCACTGTAAAATGTAGCAAACCCCTGGGGAGGGCTGAGGGGTGGTTTGAGGTCAACTAGCACTAGGTCAAAACACTGACTCACATCATTGTTATTTATTACGTTGCCCACTTATGATATTACCTACTGACTATGTAATATGTCAGCTGTAGGATGTGCATGCCTTACACAAGCTCTGTAAGCCCCTTTATATATACCCGTTGGAAAATACAGTCACTCTCTCAGTCCTGACATGGGACAAGGAGCCCCTGAGCCCCAGTGTCTGTCTGTCTTTAATATTTTCCACAATTGCCAAGTCTCTCCTGAGGATCTCTTCGCATGTTAGGGACCCCCATAACCTCAACAACTGGGACCCGAGCAGGGACATACCAACTGGCACCCCAATGTGGTATCTCAAGGAAAGAACTCTGTCAATAGGAGAACCGAATGCCCACACAGTGACTTTTCAACTCCACTGAGGTTAGGTGAGAATTGGGGAACTATTTTGAAGTAAGAATTTGGTTGCAGGATTAAAATATATACAACAGGGTTATAGGGCAAAGTAAGTAAGTTTAAGTTAAAAAATTACTGTTTTATGTGCCCCCATTTGTTAAAGCAATAGGGCGCAGCAATAAAGAAAAGAAAAATGAAAGAATTTCTACAAGTACTGAAAAAATACAATCCATCGCTCCCCGAGGAAGGAACTTTAGATCTAGGGACCAACTTTAAAGAAAGCCTACAGAAAAGGGGAGAGTATCCCCGTGAAGACCTGGTCTCTGTGGATATGAATTAAGACAGTTTTAGAACCTCTTCAGACCCAGAAGAAACTGGAAGATCAGGTTTGGTGTAGTAAGAAGCCTTGTGAGAACTGTCTACATTTTAAAAAGCAGACTAAAACCTCTTTCAATGACTATGATCATAGAAAGTGTTTGAAGAAACCTGAAGAGCAGGTTCTGAACTAAAACAGAACCTATGGCCCAAACCTCCATGACCCCAAGCGAGTACCCCACCTGGGAATCAAGGGGCAATTCTACCTTACAAATCGGATTAGACCAGAGCATGTACACTGTACAGATAAGAGCCCACAACACAGGGAATCCAGGCTAGATAAACCCCTCAGGGCCAACAAGAAGAGTAGAGATACCAGGAGGATGAGGGGAGGGAGTGGGGAGAAAGGGGGAACTGATCACAAAGATCAACTCAGAACCCCCTCCCAGGGAGACGAATAACAGAAAAGTGGGTGAGGGGCAACAGAGGATGATGTAAGATATGGAAAAAACAATCTATAACATATCAAGGGTTTGTGAGGGAGGGCGGGCGGGGGAGAGAAGGGGAAGAAATGGGGAGCTGATATCAGGGGCTAAAGTGGGAAGAGAATGCTTTGAAAACGATGATGGCGGCATATGTGCAAATGCGCTTGACACACTGGAGGAATGTATGGATTGTGATAAGAGATGTGAGAGCCCCCAATAAAGGTATTTTTTAAAAGAAAAAATTAATAATTTATAAATTATCAAGGGTTCACAAGAAAGGGAAGGTGGGGGAGGGAGGAAATGAGCTGATACCAAGGGCTCAAGTAGAAAATGTTTTGAGAATGATATGGCAACATATGTACAAATGTGCTTGACACACTGGATGGATGGATGGATTGCGATAAGAGCTGTAAGAACCCCCAGTTAAATGATCTTTTAAAAAGACACACACAAAAAGAAGAGCCTAGAGATAAGAGTATATTTTACATTTTACATGTCACAGTTAAAGTTAATGAAATGATAGAAGCTATACATAATAAAATTAACATTTGCATGCTTGTGGATAAGACATGAAGAGTCAGGCTATTGAACAGAGCTGAAGAGCACCATTACTTTCAAGGATAGAGAAGGGGATTTCAGAACAAGGGGAGCTAGAGACCAGGCCGACTTTCCCTTCTGCGTGGTTGAAAGGCCACCGATGTTAACAATCCACAGAGATAAGAACAAAGTCATTATAGTGCTTCCCCTTGCAAGGTATTATAAGATATCAAGCAAGCAGTTATGAGAAATTATGCTAAACCAAAGGGAAAATGTTTTAATTTGAGCAAGGTCAGACATTTCCTGAGAGAATGCCGGCAATGCCTCTCATTGAACTCAACAACTGGGACTGGCCCAGGGCAGCCAGGTTCTGAAGAACCTGACTCTGACCCTGCTGCAAAAAGGGGCACGACTGGGCAAGCCAGTGTCCTCTGCAGGGAAGGAGCGTGCTGGTGAACACTGCCCAGCAGGGAAACGAGGAGCAGGACATACGTCAAGGCCTGCCCAATGGAGCCCAGAGAGGGCAGTTTCAGTCCAGCTCATGCACAATCTTATCCCTCGGCCTATCACTCAGCCTGCAGCAGAAGACACGCAGCAGTAGATCTAACCAGCCAAGAAGCTCAGCTGGTCCCAGAAGGGCTCGCAGCAACCACGAAGACCAGCGTCTAGGGATCCTTACCAGAGGGAACAGTGGAACTATTGTTAGAAAAATCTAACCTAAACTCTCAAGCCGTTCAAATTGTTGCTGGAGTTATTAATCAAAATTATGAAGTTAGCCAGGAAAAAAGTATGGCAAAGGGGAAAAGTCCTGCAATGTGCAGAACCTAAAGACAGTACGGTTTAATTAAGCCTGTAATCACACTTAACCTTATGAATTTATGAGAAAGAGATGTTACATAAATTGATTCAGGAGAAGGCAACAAATGGCCGTAAATTCAGCTCCTGCATTTATTCTGTGTGTGCTACGAAGGCTGAACAATGCCATTTGGTGTCAGCCTTTTATGGACTGACAGACAGGCACTAAGTTCAGTCATTTCTGCGAGAGCAAAGCTTCTGAATTTGCATAACAATGTAAACTGTCTAAGTTTAACTGGTTTTACATCAAACAAACTGTCAGCAATACTGACGGCATTTTAAAACCTCAATTACTAAAACAGAAGGGGGAGGCGAAATAGAAGTCTAAAGGAAATACTATCCGTGACAAATTTCATTCAACTTTATTAACCCCTCATGTTTTCCCTCTAACAAAAGCTTTTAAGATATCTAGAGCAAAAGGATACTTTCCCACCCCTAAAGAAAAAGGCGACCAGGAAAAGATTTGGTGGAAGGACGAAAATCCCACTTATGACCAAAGTTTGCTAAACCGCCCAGAGAGCGGCTGTTTGTTTGTTTCCCCCGGGGAAGGAGCGTGTGGAGGGGCCTCGACAGCAAATGCAGCTAAAGAAAAGAAGAGACTTCACCATTCCCTTAACATTAATCCTGTCCCCGCGTTCTAAGGGCCCAAAGGAGGGGCTACTTGTTGCTGTCTTCCCCGGCGAAAGAGAATGCACGTGAATCTCTCTGCAGTGGGTGTGACCTGGAAGTAGGAGAGGACAACCGATGGCAGGGGGACAGCAAGATGACCCAGCATTATGCCTGTAGCAGACTTTATCAGAAACATCAAACAGACCTCGCCTCCTGTTGCAGATGGTATCACAAGCATCAGAAAGACATCGATGACTCGTGAAAACGATAATTGTTGCCTAAGACATAACCATTTTTGCCACTGCTACTGTCGCCAGAAGGACACCCCAGGACTCTATTAAAACTGAACATTTTCTGTAGAATCTCTTCTACTCCACACCCCTCAGACACAGGTGGATGATGAACTGGAAGAGGAAATGACTGAGCTACAACAGACTGCTTTCAGATTACAGATTTGCTGCAGCAACTGATGTTGAAATGTGATTTGAATATTCCTGACTTTTGTATAATCCCTTATCCGTATAATGAAACCTTACATAATTGGTCCTTAATTAGAAACCATTTGCAGGGATTTCAGGGAAACATCTCATTAGACATGAAACAGCTAACAATACTTTTAAAGATGGGTCGAAAACGTCGCCTAGCACAGGCTTGATCCAACAATTGCTTTAGAAGGCTTGGATCCACGAACCTGGATTCAAAGTCTATCCCATAGCCTTGGCTCTGGACTAGCGGCTTTGCTTAGTCATCATTTTGGTCTTGGTAACTACTTGTTATTTCTGCAGAAAGCTTTGGCGTGTGGAGAAAAGTCAGACCGCCTATGTAGCTCTTTCGAATTTATACACAATAAAAACAGGGGGATTGTAGTAAACTGAGGGACTAGATGAGAATGTAAAGCAGTTAACCCCTCTGTGCTCATAATTACAGGACTGGAAGGCCAACTCTGGTGGAGGAAGACCCTAAGGGTCATGAGATAAATAAGTCTTAATATATATTCTCATGACTGGACATAGTCCCTCCAATAACCCCCCATCAAGGAACTGTCATAAAGGAGCTACTATAAACGATGAATCATTTCTGCATCTGGTTATTCCCTGTACCTGGGAGTTACCTGCAGATAGAGCGATGAGGTTCTATAGCCAAACCACTGTAA